ATCTGTTTAGAAAGTATGAAGACGTCAGAGGGACGTAAATACTATTCAGGACACATGGAGAGAGAAATTTCTCTTGTCACTAAATTAGCTGCTTAAACCATTTCTACACTTGTAGTTCCTCTCTGGAGGCAGAGCCCAGACATCATTTGGTGCAATCCATCTTTAGAGGTTTGAATCTGTGTAAAACCATGTGTTTGTGGCTTCTGGGACTCCAGAGACCTCAAGAACCACAATATAAATTTAGTATTCTTAATAAGGATGAGCAAAATATTCCAGGGTCAGTTTCGGTGTTCGCTCTGAATGCGCCAACACCTGATCCACAACAACAACAAATTGCATTTGTAGAGTGCCTTTCATGTCGGGAAGATGTCTCAAGGGGCTGGACAGTCGAAGGCTTGCACCCGAACTAGGGCTTGGATTCGGGAAGCAGGGCGGGGGAGAATTGTATTACATTTATTCCTTACATTCTTCAAATTAAATTTATTGAACCATAATAAAAAACAAAAAAGTGTTTCCAAATCAAAGCACAATTTCTCATACAAAATCAATATGAAAAGTGCAAATTTGCCAATTAACATTATTGTACCAGCACTTTTTAACCACAGTAATAAAATGTACATGCTTGCTTGGCTGCCTTTAAGATGTATCCTTTTCCAACCCCAAAGATGTTTTTTTCAGGTGTCTTTTCTACTTTCGGTGTTTCTTTCCTGTTACTTCATACAAATTGTGCTACAAAAGTAATACCTTCTCCTTGTCTTCCCAAGCCTACACCTCACCTTGTAACTGCTTGCATGATATATCTCCATAGGGTTAAGAATTCAATCTCCAAAACCAAATATCAACTATCCTGTCCTGACAGCACTGATCTCCCAAAGTGGTGATCATTGAAGGGTGAATAAAATAGATCGCAAATCTAATTCAACATGAGTATGTCAATCTCATTGTCATGAAGAAGCATGGATGATTTGACTTTGAAAAGCCTATTTACCATCATGTCTATTTTGAATTGAGAAACTGTTCAATTTTGGGCACATAATCTTAGGAAGGATATGTTAGGCTTAAAGGGTGTCCAACCTCTAAACTAGATTACTAGTTCACTAGATTAATACCCAAAATGAAGTGGTTTAGCAATGATGAGGCTGAGTAGACTGGGCTTATATTCCTTAGAGCAGAATTGGTTGAGGAGTGATTTGATTTAGGTATTTAGAGTAAAAAGGAATTGATAGGTTAGACAGTGGACAAATTTTCTCTCTGGTGGAGGGATCCATCACAAGAGAGGACAGCCTTAAAGCATTTAATTGGTTACTCATTTCATGGCCTGTTCATGGGACATTGCTGTGCGGAAATATACTGTAAAGTGAATATATTCACTTTATATATTAGTGAATATATTCACTTTGTATATTTGTGGGCGAAATGCGGCAGCCAATTGCGCACAGCGGTGTCCCACAAACAGTCGTGGATTGAAGTGAGCACATTATTTTTTTTTATTTTTCTTGAGGGTTATTATCAGGCGTGTGGAGTAAGGAAACTTGCCCAAGGTTTCGCCCTGCCGGGAATTGAACCCAGGTCTCTCACTTGCAAGGCGAGTGCTCTAACCACTGATCTACAGGACTCCATAGTGATATGAGATTTTTAATGACCTCCTGGATTGGCCTGAGCTTTGGTTTAATGTTGCAAACTATTTAAGTGCTCTGAGACGCTGCCCTGCATGGAGGGTGCTATATAAGTGCAAGTTGTTACTCTTTATTATTCTGCAGTTTATTTTGTAATCTCTGAGTGAGTTGTAAATTGCCATTTGCAAAAACAAATAATATAAAGCTTAGCTTAGATATGCTAAAGGTGTTATGTATTTCTAAAACTAATATTGTTTATAATTTGCTCATATTGTTTATAATTTGATGACAGATTAAAATATTAAGAGGAGGAGGTAGGTAATAAGCATATGTTGATTTTCAAATAATGTCCAAGTCTTCTTAATATATTTTCCTTCAGTAAAAGTTCTAATGAAGAGGTAGATATTCCACTGTAGAAACAAAATTGCATTCATGTTAAAGATCCCAAAGCACTATTCAAAAAGAGAATGGAGTTTCAGCCAACAAACCCCATAAATAAAATTGCTCACTCACTCCAATGCTGTGCGCAAACTGTTGTTTTACAGAATCATTTCCTTTGCCCAATAAAGAGTAGACTACAAAGAGATCATTTTATCCTGCGGGAAAGTTATACTAATTTTCTTGTTTTCAAATTAGCCATATTTTATTCAAAAAAGGAAATGGATTGACATATTACATACAGCAATACCACTTTATGCTTTATGTTGCTTTTCTGAAATTTATTTTTGTGAATGAAAATATCTTTTGTCAATAACATTGTGTAGTTGAATAAGATTTCCATATATATTGGGGATTTTGTATTTAGAATGAGACCACACATGTTGCTGACTGGGTCAAAACAATGTGCAGGAACAATAAACAGGGTTACATTGCCCAATCAGTTGAGTTCAGATGCCCAAAAATCATACTCAAGCTATAATGTGCTCTCAAGCTGTCAGCCCTCTGAGATATTATCCCGTGTGAAGTTTGCTATATATATATATGTTGTCAGGCTATACCTAAAGTGCTGAGTATAGCAGCTCTGGTCACTGCAACATTAGTGCCTACCCAGACCCTACATTGCAGAAAAATGAGGATGTTTCTCGTTGTTAGAGGAATACCTTATAAACTCAATTAATAAACAACAATTAGACAAGCTAGGGATCTTGAAAGGAGATGTTTCCGAGGAGATTTTTAATGGGATTGAGAAGGGAAATGCTGGACTATACTTTTGAATGCACCACGACAATAGAACAAGAGGACATGGTTTAGAATTGCAAAGGACAATTTCAGGAAGTTTTTCTTTACCCAGAGGATAATCAATGACTGAAACAAATTACCAGAAAAGGTGGTTGACACCAGAACATTGGACTCTATTTAAAAAGAAACTTGATGTTGTGATGGGAGGTTGGTGGAGTGAGTATTCTGGTAGGATAAGATCAGATAGGCCCTTTGTCTCTGAACATCTCCTTGTGGTCTTCCAAAGCAGTATTCTGCCTTCACATTTCAGTATGTTCGCTCATAGATTAACAACCAGAATAGCTTTAGCTGTGACACTAATGGTGCAAATTCATAACCTCTTTTTCTTTTATAATTCATGTGTTTAAAGACTGACGGAGCTATTTCTGAATGTATGACCTCATGCCTTTCCATTTTAGAATAGAACTGAAGCATGTGGACAAGAAACTGCTATTTTCACTGTTTTCTGTCCAGTTGAGGCTTTGCTAGACTGACTACAATTGGTACACTTTTATTATTGATTAAAATGTCGTATTTGCTGGCCTTTTGTTAAGTATGAGTGTGTTATTTCATGGAAACAAACCATAATGTGCATGAAATCAAGGAAGATATAGCTTATTTCCCATTGACACTACTTTCCTCATAAGGCAAAAATTCACTAAAGTGAATCAAGGTGTTCTGATAATTGCCACATGCTCATTTTAAACTGAATCGTGATCTTTCTGTGACTGCAAACAGTCCATCCACAAATTTTTTGGGCTAAAGTACTGGTCAGCGTAACTTGTAGTACCTTAGCTGTTGTGTAATGCAACACAAATTTACATTTATAATAGAGCCTTTCATATCAGGAGGATGTCCAAGGTATGTGAAAATACTGGCTTGGCAGCCAAGTTAGGGGTGAGAGCCAAGCGGGTTGAGGAGGGAAAATATGATGGTCAATAAGGTAGGTCTTGAGATGGATCTTACATACGATTGTAATGGGGAAATCCCAGTCGCGTCCAAAAACTTTATACACGATACCAACTGGAATTGAGAACATGGCAAAAGAAATTGAGAACTCTGAAGCCAATGTGGTTCACTTATGGTGATGATCTTGAGAGCTGCTGAGAAATCCGCTATTGGATTTCCTTGTGTCCTGAGCACATTGTTGTGTATTTACAGCTATAGGTCCAAGCTCTCTTCAAGGATCACTCTTGTACCAGTTTCATATCAATGTCCCACCTCCCGTTATTTCTAGTGTTAACACCATTTCAGTAATTTTTCTTATAGTCCTGATGTTTGTTAAATCTAGGCAAGAGTAGCTCTTGCCTTACTGTTTGATCCGGTGTTAGATTTTTTGTTGTTCCCCTTCTTGATTTCTCTGTTGTATCAAAGCAAAATTTACTTTACATATACATATAATGGAGTGGAAAAGATCGCCTGGCTAAAAATGGCCATGCAAAAAGTTGAAATTTCTTACCCAGTTATTACAGGTTTATTTAGGTATGTTTACTCCTTTTTTTACCCATACTGTTTACTTTACCTTAGCCGATAAAACAGGTGCATCTTCTGCTTCCAGGCTGCCCCCAGCATCCCTGTAGCTGTCAGTCAGGAAATACCTCTCGCTTCTATTCATTCTCTCCTTGCTGGCCACTGCCAGTCTGTGCTGCAGTACATATGGGTAACTTCACACCTTTACATACTGCAGCAGAGATTGACAGCCCCTGGCAGAACGGGAAAGGTAACTTTTTCTTTCTCGGCAGCTAATGCAAAATAATTTGTACGTGGAGTTTGAGAAAGACCATATCTGCAGTAGTTAATCTAACTCTGTTAAATACGGTTTTCTGAATTCAAAACTAATACAATCCCCGAACTTATAAGTACTTAAAACTTATAACCTATAAGTGGTTTGGGATATATATAATAAAGGGATTGTAGACAATTTAATTTTAGTCATCTTGCTCTTCAGATTGGTTTTTGACTGGACTCTCATAACAAAATCACCCCTTAGCTTACAATTGCATTCACCTACCACTACACAGTCACTACACTGTATAGCTGTGAAGCACTTTGAGATGTTCTCCAGCTGTAAAACGTGCCATATCAGATGTAAGGATTATTATTGATATTATGATTATCGAAGTTGATAGAATAATATGGAATAAATTTTGTCCTGATTTGTTTCAGGAGAAGATGATGAGGACGATGAATGTGCTGAGGAGAAACTGCCATCGTGCTTTGACTATGTGATGCACTTTCTGACAGTCTTCTGGAAAGTTTTTTTTGCTTTTGTACCTCCTACGGATTATTGGAATGGCTGGGCCTGCTTTGTAGTATCCATTCTAATGATTGGTTTCCTAACTGCTTTCATTGGTGACTTGGCTTCCCATTTTGGCTGTACCATTGGACTGAAGGACTCTGTCACTGCCGTGGTGTTCGTCGCCTTGGGAACCTCTGTTCCAGGTAAGAAGAAAGATTTCTATCATTAGTTCATAACTCGTAACCTTAACAGTTAGTTGCGCTGTTTGAGCAGCAATAAACTTTTATAAACCAAATATTTTGACCATAAAGCTTTGATCATCAATTTTACAGATGTTCATGGTTTGGTAAGTAATAATGCAGCATATTCCCTGGCTTTAGCTATTGATAAACATGTTCTTATCTATTTTCTCGACATATTTAAAAGACAAAACTCATATGTGAATTGAAAGTGAAATGCAATTGCATGGTTGAATTATTGGAAAACTTTGCCTTAAACAATGGATACAATTACTCCACAATGTTCAGTGAGAATTAGTTCCATCTAGCCTGCTTTATAAGAAAGTGTTTCATTACTGATTTGAGTGAAAGTATTAGGGGAATATTCTACTTTTTTAATCCACTTTAGCATAGCTTTTCTCACCAATGTTACATTCTCATCCTCTACACTAGTCATCGCACTACCAATTTCATGTCAGATTAATGTCAGATTAGAGGCAATTTATGTTGCTGACTGGTACACAGTGGATATCAATTTAAACTGCTCAGTTGGTGCATTGATATGGTCACTGACACCCTTCACATTGATGAGCACAAAAAAATGCAATAGCATAGAACTGAAAATCTTTTTAAATTTAAATTAAGAAAATAAAAACCTATGATTATTTGCAACCACTGGGACCTGGTTCACAGAGTAAAATGCAGTACTTTACTCCCACTTGTTTGTAGCTCCATTAATAATATATTTTTGATTTGATATAGCACTTTATAACATCAGACAAAAGTTTTCAAAGTGCTTTACGGTGGCGTAACTATATTTGTAGGTGAACACCTATAAAAGTGAATTGTCTTGGAAGGAATGCCATTTGAGCCTTCAGTTTTGTGGGCAGTTTCAGAGTTACGTTACCAAGTTCACCTTCCTGTCCTTTCATTGGAGATAAAGTAAGATACAACAACAAAATTACATTTATATAGCATTTTTCATGTCGGGAGGACGTCCCAAGACGCTGCACAGTCAGAGTTTTGGATGCGAGCTGGGGGTCGGGATTGGGGTAGATTGGAGGGCAGAGGGGGAAGCAGGGAGATTGAAAGCACGGTTGAAGAGGACGGTCTTGAGATGGGTCTTGAAGGAGGCAAGAGAGGGGGTGAGGCAGAGGGATTGCAGGATGGAGTTCCAGAGGGTGAGAGCAGAATGGTAGAAGGCCCGCCCACCTGTAGTGGGGCGGGCGAGGTGGGGGACGTGAAGGAGGCCAGAGACTGCTGAGCAGAGGGAGCGGGCAGGATGGTAGGGGGTTACAATTGCAGGAAGATGGTAGAGTTCGCAGAGGTAGGGGGAGCAAGACCGTGGGGGGCTTTGAAGGTGAGGACCAGGATCTTGAACTGTATCCTCTGTGTGATGGGAAGCCTGTGGAATTGGGCGAGGATGGGGCTGATAGGGTCACGTAGCCTGGTGTGGGAGAGGACACGAGCTGCAGAGTTCTGGATGATCTGCAGCCTATGGAGGGAGGAGATGGGGAGGTTGGAGATGGGGCGGTAGTTAGGGAGCAGAGATGGATCCAGGGAAGCTTTTTTAAGGAGTGATGATGGCCATTTTTAATGGGGTGGGAACAGTACCAGTGAACAGGGAAAGATTTGTGATGTCTGTGAGTAGAGGGGCAAGGAGCTGGAGCTGGGAGGTAAGGAGAGGGGCAGGGATGGGGTTGAGGGAGCAGGTGGTCTGTTTCATGCGCTTTATAGTGGTGGTGAGAGAGGAGTGGGAGACAGATTGGAGGGATGAGTAGAGGCTGAGAGGGAGATGGGGAGGGGTTAGCAGACGGAAGGGCAGAGACAGCTGAGCAGATCCCCTCAACTTTGGATTCGAGGAAGATCAGCCTCAGCATTGATACAAAGAGATCAATCCTGAGAAAATAAGACTAATACACTTTTTTTTAAAAATGCTCCTTGAATATTCTGTAGCTAGTGAGAGGCTTTCACCCTAATCAATATGGCGAAGCGTTTCGCCCATAAAATATACAGCCAATTCACTTTGTAGTATATCCTGTAAATCACTTTGAGACATCTCAACGACATGATAAGGCGCTGTATCAAATGCATGTATTATTATTATAATCAATGTTGGTTAGGCTAGGACCTGGTTCCCAGAGTAAAAAAGGCAGTACTTTGCCACCCAGATCTCCATTAAAGATTGTTTCTTTATCTGAATGTGCACCTGATTTCTATCCTTGTGTTGTCAGCCTCTATGCTTAGAAATTTGTACAGCTGTCCGTCCCATAAACATACAATTATTTATTTGTATGTAACATCCTCCCCGTGAACATGAGCACACAATTGAACACTGGGCAATCTATGTTGCCACTTTAGTGTATTATTATTAGATATTTTAGTGTCCAACTGAATCGTTTTTCTCACGTTGTCAACATCATTCACATTCTATTCATTATAAAAATGTTCATATCGGAATTAGTTTCCAACCAGGGAGTACAGGTTGCTCATTTGGTAAGTGACTGACTTGAAATCAAAAGGTTAAGTGCCAGAATTGGAATACGATGAGCTCGCTCAGCCCATAATCCTTTCAAGTGTTATAAACTTATTACCAGCCCAAAATAAAATCCCAGTGGGAGAGAGTATAGTCTAGTTGCTGGGGAAACATACCTGAAAAAAGCAAGCTGGACTGTCATAATCCAATGTATTGCTAATGGTTAACCAGACTGGGAAGACTTCTGATTTGTTCCTTGTGCTGACTTAGCTGATCTCTGAAATAATGGTGTAGGATATAGTTGGCCTCAGTCTCCTTGGTTGGGCTAGGAAGGGAAAAAAACAATATAACTCCTGCTGGAAAGTGTGTATAGGTTAATGTGTGTGTGTGCGTAGACGGAGAGTGCATATCCGTGTAGGTAAATGTATGTGTTTAAGTAAGTGAGTACGTGTAGGTAAATGTGTGTGTGTTTGGTATATGGAGTTTTGTGTTTGTGTGTGTATATGAGTAAATGTGTGTTTGTGTGTGTGTGTGTATGTTTGTGTGTTTGGATGTATAGGTGTGCGTGAGTTTAGGTAAGTGTGTGTGCATATGTGTGTGTGGGGGGGTAAGTGTTTTTGAGTACATAATAATAATAATAATCCTTGCATTTGATATAGTGCTTTTCACGTCTTCTAAACGTCTCAAAGCGCTTCACAGATTATACTGTAAAATGAATTGACTGTATATTTGTTGGCAAAATTTGTGGACATATGCAAAGGGTGTGGGTGTGTTACACACCACAGAGCTAGCAGTCAAACTTGTGTTTTGTGAGTTCTCACTAGCTGGAGCTGGACATGTTCAGGCACAGTGAGGGGTTTGTGCGCATGTCAGAGGCCTGGCTGTCAAACGAAATTGCAGAACAGTTCGCTTGAGGATAGGATTAGGCTGGCTGTGATCCTTGTCACAGTTGAATAACCTGCTGACACTCACCATCTAGGCTCACACTAGAAGACTGGCTACTTGACAAGACACTTGTCAGCTGTCAGAATGGTGGCCATGTGCTCCGACATGAATTGCTGGCTTCAAATGAGGAGCAGGAAGGGGAGAGGATTGGGAGAATAAAGGAATTTTGACAAGGAGTTTATCATTACAAAGTTATGTTACAAATCATAGTGCAGGAGCTGTAGGCTGCACATAATTACCTCATGATCGCTGTAGGATGCTGGAACTGATTAAGTGAACAAAAAATGTAAGGATTATTAAAGAGGCCATTATACACTATAACAATGATTAGATCCCAACATTTCAAAAATAATGTCATTAGCATTCTGTTGATGTAAGGCCAATGGGTGAATGTTTAGACAGGCCAAAATCTGGTTTACCACAGACAAAAGGAGCAGGTCATCCCCAGCTATTTGCTACTTGGGACATGGTCTTTATCTCAAGATTTTAATAAACTCCCTGAAACAAACTAATAGTTCTAGTAAATATTAACAGAGGAATCTTCAGTCATCAGTAACACATTTGAGAGGTAATCATCTGAAGGAAGACAAGTGAAAATAGACTCTGCCATTATGTGACCTGACAGAAGCATTGACCCACTGAGGATGAGACTCCAGGATTAGATTGTCACCACTGCTTGCTCCAGATTAGAAAATTGGGAACATGTTAATCTCCAAAACCAGAAGATGGTCAAGAGCATCTGGGCATATTCTCCCTCTGATTTCCTTATTGTGTAGTCTTTGTCTAAAGCAGTACAGCTTATCACAAGGTGTGAGATTTGTGGCTATGAAAATTCCATCCTTGCTCTCCATGGAATAATCAGTAAAGTTCATGTTTTAAAATGTTGATTTATTGCTGTTATTGTATTGAGTGTTGCTCACACCACATTTGGAGTATTGTGTTGAATATTAGTTGCTCCAGGAAGGAAGGATATACTATCCTTGGAGGGAATCCAGCAACGATTCACCAGAATAGCAGCTAGGATGAAGGTCTAGATTTTCCATGGATCTAGTATTAAATAATATTGAAATAAATTGACAAATTAGATAACTAACAAGTCAACTGACCATCTGAAATACTCTGGAGGTAGGGTACACTTTGATGGTTAGTGTGAATTTATAAAGCGTTTAAAACCAAAGGGCGAAATTATTGGGGAGATTACAGAGACTGAAGGCAGGCAAGACTCCTGCATCCGATAAGACTCATCCCAGTATTCAAAAATAATTTGTTCAAGTTCTCTCACAGATATTTTCAGAATTGTTCAGACACAAATCCCAGAGAATTGGCAAAAATAGGAATTTAATGATACAAACCTAGCAAGGCTTTAGGAGTCGGAGCAAATATATTGGATATAGATATAGTGGATAGAGTGGATGTTATATTACTTAGATTTGAGATAGATATTTGACATTGTTCCACGTAACAGAATATTGCATGAAGTTCTGATTCATGGGATAGATGGCATTGTAGTAAACTAACCAGTCAGAAAGCAATAAGTAGTAATGATTAGCGAGATATTTATTCA